CGTGGGTGCAGAGATTCTAGCAATTGGAACCTCCTCCACTGCTTTCCCAGGCACCGGAACAGGGAGCTGGATTGGCATTGGAATTGCAAGGACTTGAACATACAGCCACAAGAGAGGATGACACCAGAATCAGCAGCTTCTGCTTTGCCACAGCCCCAGCAGTTCAATGAGAGTGTTAAACTGGGAAATTGAAGGTACAGTTTGTTGGTGTGTGTGTGTTGGTGTGTGTGTGTGTTGGGGTGTGTGTGTGCACACATACAGGGCACCTTTAATGTGCTCACAGTTGTGAGAACTGCAGCTTGCCTGGACTCTTGGGATTTGGGCAACTAGTAGAAAGACAGTAGGGACCATGGAGGGCAACAACCTCAACAGCTGGGAAATAAATGCCAGCTCAGCCTCCACGCTTCTGTCTTGTGGAGCACAGTGGTATTTGTGGCAAAGCTGGGTTTGTGGGGAGGATGTAGGTGTCAAGGAGAAACTGAGCTAGAAACCGGTTCAAATGCCAGTGATATCAGACTGATTTCTGCTTCCTCCCAGTGTCAGCTTTCTATTCCTTCATTTCCTCTTAACACATGATAATCACTTCTTCCATAACGAACTGGCCCAACACGTCCTTCCATTGATACGTGAGGAGAAATTGTAAGACTATAGTCAGACAGGTGCAAATTCTGCTATCACTGCGATGTTGGAGTAGGCTCATGTGAGAAAAAGAAACAGAAGAGAAAGAAAATGTGTAGGTATCCCCAGGCCTGTCCTGCAAATAGAGCAGTTGAGAGGGAAACCTGAGAATGCCAGAGATTCTCCAACAAAGGAGGACCTGTTAGAAGTTATGGGGTCAGAGGAATTTGCAGAAGTACAGTCAGCACTTGGCAGGTTCTGGGTAAAACAGGAGGTCACTGGATGAATGCTGAGCTCCACCTAAGTTGACCTGAATATCTTCAGAGGATTCCAGGCAAGATAAGGCTCCAGTATAATTCCAAGACAAGAAGTTGTGGAACAGGTTTTGCACAAAACAGCAAAGTAGCCTAACTTTGGGAGAGGTTAGCACCGCTCTCTCTCTCTCTCCAGAGCCCACCCTCATGTGCCACCTGACTTTGTCTTCTCCTAATCTCACTCCTCACCACCTCCTTTCTGCTCCGCACGGACACCCACACCAGGAACGTCCTCCGGAATAGTGGCCTGCCTATGAAACTAGACCATTCTTTCCTTTGCCCCATCAGCTCTCATGTTTCCTTCAAAACTTATCTCATAGTGACCAGGCAAGTAACTTGATTCCTGATGACCTCATGTGTTATCCAGCTCAGGTCTTCTACATGGTGAAGAAGGAACTTTTTTAATCTTCTAATCTGTAGACATGAATAACTGGATTCTACTGAAAATAATTTAGGCTATTCGTTTTTGAGGTATCTCAACTTATACAAAGTTGACAATGAATCTACGTATGAAAAGTAGCTGCTAGAGAAAAGATTGAATCTTATCATGATTGTCACAAAACTTCGTCAAGTCTTTACCTTCCACGTGAAAATGCAAAACTTGCTATCAACAGGAGTAATTTACCTGATACATACCTGATATTACAAAGTGGCAAAAGAAATGCTTCAAAATTGATGAATCTGAGCTTTATGTACCTATTAATAGGGGGAAAAAAACGTGGAATCTGAGGCTGATTTGTTTTTTGGAAAATGTTCTTTTCTGTTTTTTGAAACGTGCTGCATCAGTAAAACTTTCCCCCTGAACCCATACTTTGTCCTAGTGAGCCAAAACTTAAAAGCATATCCCGCAAGTTGAGGTCCTTTGTTTTAGATGCTTTTGTATCTGCACTTAATATGATGGCTGCAGAAGGGGAATGCGACAATCATTAGAGTGGTTGGAGAACCCTTCTCACTTTTCCTCTTTCAGTCTCTCCTTGGAGAGAGATGTCCAGGGAACTTGAATGACTTTGCAGGAGAGTTGGGACATTTTAATAAGCTTCCATGACATGCTGAGGATTCATCATCCTGCTGCACTTTGCCTCTGATTCTAACTCTACCTATGAAAGAAACTCCATGTCACAGGAATCACTGTGCCCTGTCATTTTCTTACCTGGAAAAAGAAAATGGATTTTTAGCGGATTCAGCATTTACCTTTTACTTTATACTCCACAACTTTGTAACTGGAGCTGACCAACTTTCCATCTGAATTTAAAAAAGCAATTTTGCAATCTATGCTACCCATCATTTCTAGGGAACAACATGTAAAGTGCCAATCAGAAATAGGAATACTGCCAAAGTTTTCCCCTGCTGTGATTGGTGCTGAGAACTTGATTTTGAAAGTGCTATGATACTTTTAAGACTGAGTTTTAATACTAGAAACACAGACATCAAATATAAGGTTCCAGTGAACTCATAAACACTAGCCTCTATATTTTTAATGGCAAACAGTTGAAAAAGTGCACATGTTAGTGCAATATAATTTAATAAGCTTTTTTATGGCTGGCCATTTTGACAAAAGGATTTCTATAACATTCTTCTCATTGTGTAGACTGAAAAATGAGTAAGATGATAAATTTGATTTTAATCTAGCATGTAGCTTCAAGACAGTTGAGTTTTTAAAAGATTTTTGAGTTTGCTTTGGAAAGATTTATGTGGTGGGAGATTCAAAGAATGGATACAAGTGTTTGAAGCTGTGCACAATCTGAATTCTTGTCTTTGGGTAAGTTGGAATCAATGTTCATGATAATAAAGCACATCAGAAGATGCGGTGAACTAAAGGCAGAAGGGCCACAGTGGTGACTGTCTCTGTGGAGTGGGTACCCTAGCCAGTGACACATTTTCCACATACTCCAATTTCCTCGCCTTGTGATTGGCATTCGTTGAAGATTCATTCACTGATTAGTGCACCTGGGAAGGTGTTATAAAAGTTGTTTGCTTCTAACATTTGCTGGCACCAGTGGGATTCAAAATGATGCCAACTGAATGCCATTTCAAATAAAAACGTCTTTCTCTTGGCATGGGAAAGACCAGAGTCACACAGTAGCTTTTGATTTCCGAAATGTGTTTTCTAACTTTGCCTCCCGCTATTGTGTTGCTCTCGTTGAGAACCTGGGCTGGAAGACTTTCACAAGAAGGCAAGTTTATCTCCAAATCTGCCTCCTCGTGTAAAGTCATATTGTCTTGGAGTATGATTTGTACCTTTCCCAGGCCTTGTGGAATTCAGTGAAAAGTGTGAGGACTCAGAATCCTGTAACAGCTTCTTCCAGTTGTCAATTGTTGTTCAGATGTATAGGAGCCTCCAATCCTGTATGCGTTTCAGCAGCTCTGGGACATGGCCTAGAAATACAGTGTAGGTATGGATGAAAGAGGGGCTGCAACTGCTCAAAACCCAACTGGAAGATGGGCAGGTGACATGGCCTCAGGGTCGGTGGCCCGACAGAGAAATCCACCCTTGCTCCACAGACTTTTTTTTTTTCTTTTTTTGGCCTGTAAGCGGAGTCCAGCCTGGCAAGTGGTCCATTAAACAAAGAGTTTATTGTAAAGTGGGCCTGATCCCTGGAGGAGAAAAATGACTCTTTTTCACAGGGGAGAAAAATTAACTCTTTCTGTCCATTCATATCAAGGAAGGTGCTGGACAAATATTCAGACATTAATTTCCCTAGCTGGTTCTAGGGAGTTTCCGTGTTAGAATTTTCTATGCAACAGAGTAGTAGTATCCTATAGTCCAAATTCTCCTTTTTATCTTCCCCTTTTTCTACCTGGCAGAGGTAGAGTATGTGGGACATCAAAGTTTAATCATTACAAAACCGTTAAAGTTGGGATGTAATTGCTTTCCTCTCTCGTTTACCTTGAAGTGATTAAAGATGATTTTGACAATCCTTTTTCAAAATTTACTTTTAGACTTAAGTTAGGCCGTCGTTAACCTATATGGTGGATGCTATACATGACAAGCAATGTATGGTTTAGCCTTGACTCTTCAAGAGTGAATTTGGATGGGGAGAAATTGTTTTTGTCTAGATATGAGTTGAAAGAAAGCAGTGAAGAACCAGAGAGAAGGGTTCAATTGCTGTATGCCCCCTTTAAGAGCAAAACAAGATTAGCAACTTTGGCAAATTTTAGGCTTCTATTCAGAGAGAAAGAAAAGAGTTGCCAGTATCAAACAGAAAAAGGATGGGCATGACACAAAGACAGATGCAATTTTACACCTTATTGAAAACTTACATGGGAGTGGTTTTAACTCCTCTGGGATTAAGACAGATAGTGTTCCACTGAATTCTAGAAGTGGAGCCAGGTGAAAAGGAGTTCATTCTGGCGTAAGTACCTCTATGTGTTCCGTGCTGCCCTGGGAGGAATACAGAGAAGATTCTGCGGATGAGGGAGGAACCAGCAGGTGCTGAAGGTGAGGGACCACCTGTCATAGAAACCAATATATAGGTTTCCTTACAGCTTAAGGCAGAAACTTTTGATGGTGGCCTTCTCTGACACAACACCATCTAGCTTTCACGATCAGAAAGTCTGTATGAATGTTAGAGAATTATCTGGATCTTATTTTGCCTTTTTATATTATAGATTACTATGTTTCTTAGTGGCCTCCCACGAGATGAGCCTACAAAAGCAAAGCAAATGTTTTTATTCATGTCGGGTCAGAAAAGGCAGTGAGGCATCATTTGGGCTAATGATAGTGTTTACTCAAGCCTTATGCATATAGAAAAAAATGTTATTTTTCTCTAATTGCGTATTTTGTCTCTGTAATGACTGAGTTGCATTCTGCACTGAAATGAGTAATCAATATTGAGTGTTTCCGTGGTTCAAACGGAGTCTTAGCTCTTTTAGATGGCATAAGATTACTCCAAATTTGGCAAGCTGCTGCAAAGATGGAAACTGAATGTGAAAGCTAAAGTGTGGTTAATTTGTTATGTGTTTTATTCTGTAGGTTTTAAGTGAAAAGCCCAGGTTCGCAAACACCAGCACACCCTGAATTTTTCCTGAGGCGAAACCTAGCCTGATGCCCAGAGGGCACAAGGAAACATGAGTTATTACGGCAGCAGCTATCATGTGGTAGACATAGACCAGAAATACCCAGGCTATCCCCCAGAGCACATCGTTGCCCAGAAGAGGAGGGTGCGGAGACGACTACTTCACAAAGATGGAAGCTGCAATGTGTATTTCAAGCATATTTTTGGGGAATGGGGGAGTTACGTGGTCGACATTTTCACCACTCTGGTGGACACCAAATGGCGCCATATGTTCGTGATATTTTCCTTGTCTTACATTCTCTCCTGGTTGATATTCGGCTCCATCTTTTGGCTGATAGCATTTCATCATGGCGATCTGCTAAACGATCCCGACATCACGCCTTGTGTTGACAACGTCCACTCCTTCACGGCAGCGTTTTTATTCTCCCTTGAGACCCAGACCACCATCGGGTACGGATACCGTTGTGTCACCGAGGAATGCTCTGTGGCCGTGCTCATGGTGATCCTGCAGTCCATCCTGAGTTGCATCATAAACACCTTCATCATCGGAGCTGCCTTGGCCAAGATGGCAACTGCTCGGAAGCGAGCCCAGACCATTCGTTTCAGTTACTTCGCGCTCATAGGAATGAGAGACGGCAAGCTGTGCCTCATGTGGCGAATCGGTGATTTCCGGCCAAACCATGTGGTAGAAGGGACGGTGAGAGCCCAACTTCTCCGCTACACGGAAGACAGCGAAGGGAGGATGACAATGGCATTTAAAGATCTCAAGTTAGTCAATGACCAGATTATCCTGGTCACGCCAGTCACTATCGTTCATGAAATAGACCAGGAGAGTCCTCTGTATGCCCTGGACCGTAAAGCAGTGGCCAAAGATAACTTTGAGATCTTAGTGACATTTATCTATACCGGTGATTCCACCGGCACATCCCACCAGTCTAGAAGTTCCTATGTCCCCCGAGAAATCCTGTGGGGCCATCGGTTTCATGATGTCCTGGAAGTTAAGAGGAAGTATTACAAGGTCAACTGCCTACAGTTTGAGGGCAGTGTTGAAGTATATGCCCCTTTCTGCAGTGCCAAACAGTTGGACTGGAAAGACCAACAGCTCAGCAACATGGCCAAATCCCCTCCAGCCCGAGCATCTTGCACAGCAGACACCAAGGTCCGACGAAGGTCATTTAGCGCAGTGGCCATTGTCAGCAGCTGTGAAAACCCAGACGAGATCGCCACCTCTACCGCGGATGAATGTAAGGAACCACCTTATCAGAAAGCTGTCCTGACTTTAAATAGAATCTCTGTAGAATCCCAAATGTAGCTTAAATGATCATTTTGCGGGCTCTCACTCAATCAGTTTGCCTTCCTGCCAATCATTTTAAGGCGCGTTATGTGTAAACAGAGGTCTTAAACAACGTTGTATGTTCTATTGGGATGATGGCTACATAGAGCAGGTTAAACTAAGTAAAATGTCATCTAAAATTTTATGATTGTCAATAACTAAAATTTGCTTTGGCTAGCAAATTTTATATTAGGAATCATAATAAGAAGCTTAACTGATTAAATTTCAGCTCTTTTTATTATCTCATATATATATGTATCTTCGGTTAGAGATGCAATATTGAGTCATGAGAAACAAAGTATAAATAATAGTGCATTTTTAAATGTATCAAAATTAATAATATGATGAGTGAGAGCCCACAGAAAGCACCATGTCATGTAACCAAGATTAGCAAATTGTACATTTGGTAGCGAATAGCATGGGAATTTACAAGTGTAAAAACCACTGGCCAATTTAAGCAATTCTGTTTTCCTCTCCGAGTGTTACATTATCAGCTGGCAGAGAGCTAAACTGACAGTGTCACCAGAGGAGTTTCAATTGCCTCTTGTCCATACAGCACTCAATAACTTCTAAAAGCTGCTTCCCCCCTCTTTCTAATCCAAGAAGGAGAGGAGAAGTTGGCATTGCTACTTAGAGCAGTGTTTCTCCCTTAAGAGTCCGGGTGGGCTCCAACAAACGGGGTGCAGAAAAAAGATAACCTTTATCCGTTGTCTGTGCTCTCCTCCTTCACTCCCAAGAGGCAAGGTGACATGGGCCGAACGGGGGATTGGAGTAGCAATAAGCATTCTCAGACCCTTTGATAAAAGTGCTTTTCTTCTGTGTTCTGAAATGAAGGATAGAATGTTCTTATGTACTCAATCATTGGGTGGGTGGGGGAGACAGTTATTTACACCCAGAAGCAAATACATACACTTTAAATCTTGGTCCACCTTAGAGAACACGAAAGACTTGAGTTTGAGATTTTGGAAAACTCTGAACTTGAAATAAAATTTAAGTTTGGTGATTTTGTGAATTGCAATAAAATCAGTGTGTTCTTAATGTATATTAGTTGGATAATCTGAGCACGATTGAATTGCCTAAATTATAGGACTTGAGATAAATATGTATAAATATTAAGAGATGATAATTAATTAAGGAAAAAATCCAATCAATCATTAGCCACTTTAAGCTTGTAAACCAAGGTATTGTTAGATACGCTGAAATTTATTTGTGCATTTTTAAAATTGTTGTCGAGCTGGAAGTAATTACATGCAGTAGTTTTTATTTGGTTTATTTAAATACACACACACAAGCACACACGCAGCTCTTTGCTCTTTTTCTGGAAAATGTCTCTGCCTTCTGTGTGTGCATGCTTGCTAATTAAATTAACCACACAAGTAAACTGAAATGATAGTCCAAGGTTGCCAATAAAAGTAAAATATGTGGGTATAAAAATACTTATATTTTTATTTTCTTTCCCCAGCTCCAACCTTCTTACTCCCCGCCTTTCTTGCTTCTTATTTTCCCCTAGCAGGAACAAAGTTGCATTTCACTGTGTGCATATCTACACATCCTATTTTTCATATTATTTCATGAATAAGACATGTATTTAGATCATAGGTTGTGAAAATGTCTTCAAGACTAATACCACAGGTGTGCATTTTTGTCTGCAAGAATTCTGAGTCCATTTTCAAAAATGATATATGCATAGGTTTAGATGGTCTGTGGACAATTACTTAGATATGAAAGGCTGATAGTCAATAGTACTGCGATTGCCCAGGCAGGAACAGAAGCCATGACCATAAGCCTTCGGCTGGCTGTTCCCTCAGCTCTAGCTCCATCACGGCTTTGCTTTGCATCCGGAGGGTTTTCTATCCAGCATGCTTGCCTTGTCAATACCCGAGAAGGGCACTGGTGCTGAATTAAACACATCCCGTTGCGCTAAGTGCCTCCACCATCCACTTCCCTGCTACCGGTAGAATGCAAAATCAGCATTCACTCACAATCCTCACCTTCCGTTTCCTGTGTGGATGCACAATAATTTTTATAACATACCTTCCTACTAGCTACTTAATAAAGGGTTTTAAAACAATGCAGAAGATGTGCATCTCTACTCCTTTCCCTGTTGCGTAAATTCTTGCAGCTGATCTAGCCAGCACTGGCGATAGAACACCCAAAATGAGATCGCTGCTTCATAGAGTTAGAACATAGGTAGCATTTTAAACCGTGCTTATGGGTTTTTAACAGCTTGTAGAACTGCAATAGCTGAAATAACAATCAGTTGCTTGTGTAAGCATTACAGAGAGCCCTGTACAAAATGGCACTTCCAATTTCAGATGCCCTTTCACTGATAATTGGATCGAATATTTTTTCCTTATGCCAATTACTTTGTGGCTGAAAACATGAAGCTATTTTGTGGAGTGAATTCAATGAAAACCAAATTGTGGCATCAACACATTGACTCACTGTATGCTGTGGCTTGTGAAGAGAGCAAAGAGAGAAAGAAAGACTTTTTTTTAAGACCACCATCTCTGGAGCAATATCGAGTGCTTTATGCAGACAAAAAAAAATCTCTCAAATATCTGATTGTTTCCTCCAAAAGTAAATTCCCAATCCAACAACAATGTACTTAGTTGGAAAAAAATTCAAATTAGGCTTCTGCTTTTCCAACCCCCTGGTAGCTGCGGGGCTTGAGTGGTACAATTCTGGGCCATGTCCATCAGCAGAAAAACCTGGATGTAGGCTTTAGGAAATCTTTCATATAGAAGCTCGCATCTGGCATTGCTATTCTGCTATCCTCAGACTCTGGACTTCAGATCTGATAGCTGGCACTTCTGCAGCCATTTTGTGAGCATGTAATTCTGTACCCTGTGTCGGATCCACCTTGCTGATATGCATCGCGAGAGGGGAAGGCACAAGAATATAGACCAAATGTTTATGTCCCAGCCACCCATATGGGAAACCAACATGGACTTCCTGGCTCCTGTCTTCAGCCTGGCCCAGCCAATAGAAAAAAAAAGCAATCTGGGGCTCTCCTTCAGGGATACTCTGCCTTTCAGATGAAAACAAACAAACAACAACAGAAAACTCTGCTAATATGCTAATATTGCCCTAGGAGACTACTTCTTCCATAGATGCCAAAATGGATTCGGTTCAGAATTTTCAAGGGGAGCTGAAATGTAGACCAAGTTCACTATGACCCTGCTCTAAGTACATGTATTGCATGATTTGATTTCCTAGGCTAAGTGCAAAGGTCAATCCTATTTCAGTGGTTAAGCATCAACTTTTACTCAATTGAAAATGTTCTATTATCCCCATCCATTATAAGCACTGAAGCTTCTGTTCTGTGTGTCCTACAAGGTGTGTGCAAAATCCTCCCACTTTTTGGGGTGGGTTTCTGGAAACCATGCCTCCACACCCACAGTACACTACCATTGCACTTCAGTCTAGAATCAGCGTGGCTTCTTTCACCTCCCATATTGATTTTTAAAGGAGCAGCATGACCCACACTCTAGAAGACTCTTGCATGTGGGGCATGACGTGCAAGTTACAAGCCAGGAGGAGGAGCTCAGCAGGCAGAGAGGCCAAGCAGCAGGAGAGTGCTTGGCAGAGGCTCTGCAAAGGAGAGCTTCGCAAGTGAGAGCAAGTCGCTGGGATGCAATGCAGTCAAGCAAGGGCCCGACAGGAGTCATTTTCCAAGAGATAGATTGGTAGTTTAAAACACTAAAAAGCCATCAGCTGGGCTGCATTCCTTGGAGAGCTCTTCTTCAGGAAGAAAAAAAACGTATCCACACACAAATGTCCATGCATCTTGCTCTTTCACTACTTTAAGTCGTTTTTCTGAAGCAGCTCAGAGACTCCGTGGTCATGGCCAGGGTTTTGCTGAGGGTGCTGTGCTGCTGCTCATTGGCTTGGGAAGATCTGCACCTGTGGTCAGGCTGCTCTGCAGGTGCGTGAATGGGAAGATGTATCCTCATGTTTCTGCATCCCATAGACTCTCATTTGCTTAACACACACACCTATACATAAACACACATATATAGAGACACACACATATAATTAAAAATGAATAAAATAAACGGCTGCCTTTTACTGCTTGGTCTCATTGATTTATTGTATTTTGTAAATACTACAGGGGAAATGAATTCTGTGGGTAGAGTCCATTATCCCAGGAAAAAGCAACTGGCTGAGATGGAGAATCCTCCAAGGAAAGCAAGCTGTGCTGGAATCCCTCATTCCCCGAGCCCTGAGTAGAAGATTTGAAGACTCCCTAGGCTGCAGGGAAACAGGTCAATTATTGAAAGCATTTCAGCAAGCCCCACAGATGAAAGCCCAAACAAATAGGTGAACTCTTGCTAAATTGCATAGCCTCTGAATGCCTTTTTCTCTCTGCTACCATTTCCCTCCAGCAGCCTATGAAACATCCATCATCCCTACCTGAGTAACCTGACCTTGAGACAGAAAGAGGCCCCTGAGAGTTAGTCATTGTGAAACCATCTTTACAGAAAGTTATCAGAAACCTTCACATTTCCACATAAAATTCTTCAATCACATGCAATGGCTCGCTGTGGTTAAATGCCCTTTGCTTGAATTAGAAGCACATGTGCCAGATCAATTCATTGTTGTGTTGTTGGATGATTCTTTCTGACATTAGTTTGCCTGGGGGATGGAGGGAGGCTAGCCTTGGGGGCCGGGTTAAGGGCAGAGCTAGCCTCTGCCTGCTGCCCATTCGAGGACTAAAGATTTGTAGGACAAGAGTGGCACATCAATTTATCTAACTAGATCTGTTCACAGAGGAAAAAAAACCCTCCGAATCAGAAGATTTTTTGCCCAAAGAGAAATAGCAGTGCAGTGACAAAGCACGATTATTAATGACCAGCCAGGGGCTCTTTGAACAGCCATAGGAAAGAATCAGTTCTCATGCTCTTTGAAATTCAGATTATCACATAATCATAAAATTTATTAAAAAAGAAGAACTTTAAGAGTTTTTCTTAAACAGG